CGCGTGCGCCCTTCCGGGAGCACAAAGGGGACATAGGGGTTCCCACACAGGAGGGGGTCATTTACACGCCATAGATGGCCTGAGGTACGTTGGGGTATCAGGGATTTCTTTCCTAGGGTACACCTGGTTCCCCGGCAACTGGTACCCGAGACGGCGTGCGGTTTTTGGTCAGTTCGAGTCCGACATAACCACCGGTGGCTCTTATCTGAGGGGATTTCCGCACATGAAAAAAAAAAAACCAAAATTAGAAACAAATTTGAATCATTCATGTAGCTAAAACAAATTTTCGAAATAGACTTACTGTCTGTCGTCTACTATTGATACAAACCTAGCAAAGCTCCGCCTGATATACATATTGTATTAAATTTCTTCTCAATACCTACTTGACCTGCAATATACTCGGGTATTTTATGTTCCTGAGTTATATAGCTTCTAGTGCGTTCAAGAAACATCGGAATAGTACTAAAATGGTTTACATCTATGCCGCTACTATTACTGTCAATATATTTTACAACAATACGACAGACTTATTTAAGCACAAAGTCAATCAATCTATACTCACATTCTTAATGAAATACTCGCGGACATATTTTAATGGGTATACTTTATAAATATATACAGAGTTTATTTTATTTGAACAGCCTGTAGAAACTTGAGCGCGGCAACCTACTTGGGGCCGAGAAATGGACTCTTGCCATTAGTCCAGGACAATCTATATTATTGTTAAAAGAATATTTTACAAAGATGAAAGGTCAAGAAGTTCGCGTCTATCATTAAGTGACATTAAACTAAGGTGTTTCAAACGAGCATTATACAAATTTAGTTTTCTGCGAAATGCGAGGAAACCTTCGTTGTGTTCGTTCCAGACTATTTTTTGAGATTCGTAATCTGGAGACCAAACCTGAGGACAATATTCCAGTATACTGACAATCAAAGTCTTAAATAGAAGTATCTTAGTTTTTGGTAGCCTAAAACTTGTAGTACTCGTATTTATAGATCCTAGTCCAATAAATCCATTTTTGATCCATTAAGTCTTATCTATCTAGATGTGCATTAAATGTTACTCGACAGTCTATCAAAACCCCCAAATCTCGTAAATACTCGTCCTTAAGTGGTTGATTATTTATAGAGTATGAAGATGGTACCTGTTTTATTCCTAGTGAAGGAAATATAATTATATTTATCGACATTTCACATCACATCACATCATCAGCCTTTAAATTTCATTTGTTTCGTCGTTCGAAAAAATCGTTTTGGCCTACTATACCACGCTTGCCACACGGTAACTGGTAGACTATCTGAATCAGGTCCTTTATTTAAATAAAGTCTTTTCAGTTTTTTTAAGAATACTTAACGGAAGAAATCCTAATATGAACATATTCCTCGTACGTATATGTAGGTCATCATCTCGAACTGTATTAAAAGTACAATTCAAAGTTCAGTTAGCAATAGTTAATCACAAATAGAAAACGAAACGATTTAAATATATAAGGCAAATTTTCAACTAGGTACAGGTTAAGTTTCAGTGGTACTTAATACTTAATTAATATGAATAACACATAATATGTTGTACTAAACTAGCAACGTATCGGAGCTTTTTTATTTCGCATGAGCCTCCACAACCCGTCTGGCCAGCGTGGTATAGTAGGCCAAAACCTCCTTTCTAAGGAGAGGCCTATGTCCAGCAGTGGACTATTATAGACTGTTGATGTGATGATGTGATGTGATGAGCCTCCTATAAGGGAAGGTGATTCAATTTAATGCGACATTTATCAAAGCTTTCACCAGTAGGCGATAGACACATTTTAGTAATAAACTATGTTTTTTGCCTCTTTTCTCCTGTGCATTAACAAAAGAGTGGTGTGACTTTTTTTAATATCTGTGTTTGCTTAACAATATACAACTATCGAACACAAAGCTAACCTAGGTACATTTGCTTGGCGCTATCATACACAATAACACACATAGTTGTGACATGTAGTTTCAAATCCATAAATCAATTAGTGTTAGATATATAAAATTTCTTCATATAGTAACCGTATGAAAAAGATTTTCCTTTAAAGAAAGAACTGACTTAGGGTCTGAATCGCGTTTCGTGATAAATAATGGAATTGATCATTCGCGTGACTGTAGCTCAGTGCGGGTCTGCGGTTGTTATCCTGTTATGAATTACACACAATGTGTTCTTGTCGGACAGCCCTTTATGCCAATACTTTACTCATGTCAATAGTGCAAAAAGTTTTGTTTAGGTATCGTGTTTTCAAACACGCTGTGTTACTATCAAACACTTTTCCATAGATCAAGTCAAGATAAGACAAGGTTTCTTCCAAACCTTGTTAATTATTATTAACTACACAAGTCTTGAAATGCTGGTTATTTTTTAAGATTTCTAGTCTACGTTGCGTGAGAATTATTTGATTTATGACTCAAAATAGACTTTTGAAGTAAGGCATCACATAACATTCTTACGTCCAAAAAAACAAACTTTTTTTAAGTAGCCAAAAGTAAGTATTATTAAAATAAACTTGTTAGCCTAACTAAACTCACACTAATATCAATACCTACAAGCATACTGGGCACAGCTGTGCCGCCAGATCCTAATAATTAAGTGGGAGCCTCAACCTTAATATGACCCAATTCTTATTAACTTTTGCGGTTAAAATATAAAAACTTGTAGTTTTCTTTGTCAAGTTCTCAGTAAGATTGCAAAAATAACGAAAATTATCACTGATCTGATCAACCGCACGTCTAATTATCTTGTAGTGTTGGTATATGTTCAAAGATTCCATAAAATCAGAACACAAATGAAAACTGGCTGACCAATCAATGCATAATGTACACTTTGTGGTTTTTTTTATTGAATGAGACCAATTTCGAAGTAAATACTCTGTATGCATAGTCATACAAAGCAGTAAAATCTGTGGAGTGATTTGAAACTGTCATTCGTTTTTTCATCAAAGCAAATCATTCTTTTAAAAGCGCTCAATTAGTTATTTTGTAAAATAAGAGGAGCTGCGTCTGGCTGACTGATAGATAGTGGGTTTCCTACTAATTACACTTTCCTTAAATCCGTACCGTTTTTTCCGCAGAATAAGGTATTTTACTCTAAGATTGATGTGAAAATAAAACATAATGTAAGATAGTTTAGACAATAGACCACCGAAGTTCGATTTAGTTTACGGTTATTTTATGCGTACTAAAATAAATATATATTACTTTATCTAATAAATAAATATTATGATACATACTATACCACAGGTACTCAGTCGATTTCTAGTTCAAATTTTTTCATGATAGAATTTCTGTTTTACTATAAATCTTGAATTTAATTGTGCCAAATTACGAAACGTTTATCCGTCTGTGAATTTCTATGTTTATAAAAAAATCTTAAGGATAGTAGCTTATTATAAAGTTAACACAACGAAAAAATTTAACCCTTTAGGTGTTTTTATTTATTTACGCGCAGGATTTTAAAATGTATATTAATGCTACTTTTAGATTTAAATTCTTTTTTTGTAAGTTTTCTGGTTTATTATTATAAAGCAACAGTACTAATACTTTCGAACAAGTCGAGTGTATTAATCTATCTCAAAACTGTGTCTTCTTTGACGGGCCTGTCGGTCCAGTGGTTAGTTACCCTGACTGCCCAGCCGGAGTGGGAATCGAACCCACGACGGGTTCGATTCCCACTCAGGATAAATAATTGTGTGATGAGCACGATGATTTATTCTGTGTCTGGGTGTAATTTATCTACAATATGTATGCATTTAGAAATATATAATTATGTTTATCAGCTGTCTGGTTACCATAGCACAGGCTCTGCCTAGTTTGGAATCAGACGGCCGGTGTGAGATGTGTGAAGTTATTATTATTATTATTTTCCCCTCTCAAAACTATTGACAAGTCTTACTTTGACCATTTTTTGAGAGTTGCTTGAAAACGTAACAATGAACGAACGTGTTTCACCGTAGAAGAACCATTCTTTAAGACAAATAGCTCTATCGTAATGTTAACACGGCCTCACAGAAATCCGATGCTAAGCATTTCCTTCATAACTTTTCACTGAGTGAATGAGGCTACCAGTATCCAAAGTTCTGGGAGGAGGGAGCACTCAATGCCCTTGTGTCTTTTGAGCTACATGTGTTCATGGGCAGTTTTAGTTCTACTCCCATCAGGGGTGACCCGTTTGCTCGTTTGTTCAATGATGTGTTGTTTATTCAACTTAATGCTTATACAAAATGCGTCTAATTATAGTTATACAGTTCACTTTTTTGTAATAAACATTGCGTTTGCTAAACCGTCATAATAGTATCGGTAGGTAGATCGGCCGACACAGTGCGTCATTACACTTTTTCGCTCCATTTCTTCCATGCGGTCGCTGCCAAACAAATTGATTACGATATATGTACAGCTGCCCTACCGTAAATTGAACTATTGAATTAATGTGCTTTTGCAGAGCCTAACAAACCAGTGACGTTATTTTCTGTTTGTGAAATATCTAACGAAACACCTATAATATTTATTAAACTATACCATCAGTACTAATTAATTTTAGAAGTATTTTCATTAGTTTTAAGTAGTACCTACTGTAATATTAGTAATAAAATTAGTAATGATAGTATTTGCAAAAGAGAATTTGTTTTGTAAAAAAGATAATGATTTTGTATACTTTTTCAGTGGCAGTGACGAATCCAATGATAGGACCTGCCATACTGGTTCCTGGCCTATTAAAATATATAAACTCCTTTATTGAAGAACCTCGAAAAGACAGAACTTGATATCCAAGCAATTTCGCCCAGAGATTATAGCAATTTGTATTCCATACGATACACTGTACTCCATATGGGGATAGACTAGTGGCATCCAAAATAAAAGTAAAGACTTTGTGCTTAATAATGCGAAGCGTTACTTCAAAGTTATCTTTTATAAGATATATTTATAAACCATTTCTTGGTTAATTACTTAAATTTGATTATAACACACTATAAACTTTAAGCCAAATGAGCTGGGTTAAGTCAAGCGAATTTAACTCAAATTATGTTTGTTCGCTGGACGTATTTTATTCAGTGCTTGTAAGCGTTTACACAGATTGATCGCATAGAGTATGTAAGTATATATTAATATAGAAGAGTTATGATTAACTTATGTCTATTTGACCAAAGTAAATATTTGATAAATTGTAATAGTTCGAATACAGTTACACTAATTAAAGAAAATTTCGGAAAAACTCGTCACCCTCAGGTACATTCATGAAGTACAGTAGTAGTAGTAAACATAAAAAAACTCAAATTCTTCCACTTCCAATGCTAGACAAAATAATTCTACATGCACACCTAATATAAACTAGAACTAAAAAGTCAGAAAATGAAATAGAAAAAAGGACTATAGTTTAGTTATAACTATATAATTTAGAAAAACATAACTAAATCGCGAATATATTAAACACTCCATTTTACTTCGTTGCTTACAGTTACTTAGAATATATTTTGTTTTTATTTTTAAGATGTAAAATACTGCCATTAAAATAATTCCATTTCAAATGTAGTATTCTTGTCCATAGCTGATAACGGAGATCAACGTGCAATTGGCATTGTTCCGCGACCTTCTGATTCACATCGGCCAACCACATGACTGTCCTGAGCTTCGAGAACGTGTGCGACGACTGCGACGCGCATGCGTCGAGGCCACGAAGCAGACTAGCCAGCTCGTACTTCCTAACTGTAAAAAGTTTGTATATTTTCCATATGCTCACGTTTAATTTTCTCCTTCACTGTGCTAGTTTTATAAGGTTACAAGCAACCTAGTGCGTTCAAAATTCATACTAATAAAACCCGTATGAGAATGTTTTATTAAATAGATGTCTCAATTTGGCCAGGGTAATCGAAAATATCTACTAGTAGTTTCAAACAGAAATAGCGCACGAATAAACAAAACGACATCTACGAAAAAGTTAAATATTTTCCTAAGATATATACTAAAACATTTGTATACTTGAAACAAAGAATACACGGACATCGAAATTGAAGTTCCCGAGAGCCACGAACCATTTTCAGCATTTAGATTAATGTCCTATTTGAGCTAGATAAATGGAATCCCGTTTAACACAAAGCGATACGTATGTTATTCACAAACTTTTATACACACACATATATATATAAAAACAATTTTCTCTTTTTAAACCGTCACACTTTTTCCCTATCATGTGTTAAATAATGTTTTTTGTTTCTTTTTCCTCCTCGACTTAGATACTCCAACCGGTCGAAGCTGCAATTTATACACTGTTCCATTATGCTATTTGATATTATTCAAAGCATTCACCTTAACTAAAAAATCGTGTCATATGAACACGTCTAGTCATTTGCATTTCAAAAGGTGAACTTTTTTGTATCTCTAAGGTCAAAACCAAAATAGAACTAATCACGTAGCACAAAGTCCTTTAGACTATTCCCTCTGAATTGAATTGGAAACTAACAAATCTTTTTCTTAAGAGATTTACGGCTTGACAGATAACTACATCGTCGATTTGTTTTTAAATCTCAGTAGCAAGAAAAAACGTAATGAAAAGGGTATACTCCCGAGGTGGTCCCATTACCGCCAAATCAGGATCTGATGATGGAATACCAGAGAAATGGAGGGAAACCCACAAATTTTAGAACCCCAACGACGTTTAGCTTGTTTCTCTAGCTACTCGTATACAGGTATTTGCGTTTGGTAGTCGTTATCTCATGTTGCTGAACTAATGATGGAAGAGTCCTTGCGCTTTAGGAGTTAGAGGACAAATCTTACAATAATATAATCATGTATTGATCTTGTTTTATTTTATGTGATCTTTTTAGGTGTTTGTGTTGGATTCCTGACATATGTGCACAAAAAAGTAATACAAAATATAGATATATAAGTAAATTACAAAATATTTAGACAAAAAAATTTGCTACGCATTCTTTTAATGTTTGTTAACTCAAAACTCCTTCATTTTTAAACCGATTCTTTTTTTATTTGCAAGGGTATATTTACTTTTTGGTTCTATTCAAATATGAAGAAAAATGCTACTCCTATTGATGGAAAATTAAGTAATATGGAAAACAATATATTTGTGCTATCAAATTTAACATCTTACTATCTTATCCAAATAAAGTAACGGACTTATGAAGCTAAATTGAATACAATCTAACATACTACAGTTTGGTAATATAAACAGTACCTTACGCAGTGTTCTATACATTGTACGAGTATACTCATTACAAACGTATCTGACACTAAAAATGGTAAAATAAATCCTTTGAAAAACCGACTTCAAACAATACTAACAAAGAGCACTAAAAATTAAAAAAATAATTACAAATCTAATTAAAAAAACGAAAATAAGTGCGACCCTCGATATAACAGGTAAGATTATAATAGAAATATATACCTTTTAGTCTGTTTGAAGACGGTGTAAAGTCCGATGCACAATAAGTAACGCTTAAGGTACACCGTTATTGCGGTGGTAAGATCTGTTATTTAGCATTGGCTCGAGAGGCATCACGGAACCCTCTCATTCCGGTTGACGCAAGTGATCACCGAAAAAGGATGCTTCGGGGATCACGTAGAACGACCTCCGTCCTCCATAGGCGCTGGCCTGGGGGTGACGGGTGAGGCCATCTATCACCGCATATATCTAGCAGAAACAAGCCGGGTTGGCGGCGCGACGCCAACCCGGGATTATAGAACGGGAACACAGTACATGCCGTAGATGGCCCGGGGTACGACGGGGTTCCAGGGATTTCCTTCCTAGGGTACATCTGGTTTACCGGCTACTGGTACACTGGATTTCAAAAGAGAAAAAAATCGGGTCTATGTCAGCTTCTTAACTATCAGCTCTATAAAAATGCATACAATGAAAATACGATTACGCTATAACATTTGATAATTTCGGTAGTGGATCGCTGGTGCCTGAGGTAGGTATAAAAACCTGTGTTACAGGACAACAGGTCCCCACTCGGACCACGTCTTGACATTTCAAAATACCTTAGTGAGGTGGTTACAATTTAGTTGTGCAAGAGTACAAAATTTAAGAAAAAAAAAATAGAAACAAGCGGGAGTAGTAATAAATGTAACATTAACAAACAACAGGATGTGTGTGTGTGTGTGCGCGCGTATGTGTGTGTGTGCGCGCGTATGTGTCTGTGTGTGTCTGTCTGTATATCTCTGTGTGTGTATGTTCATGTATGTTTGTGTGTGTAGTGGGATTGGAGTTGTGAAGGAGTACATGCGGTATGTCTGCTAGCCCTACGACATAGTCTTTGAATCGGTCATATGACATATCCACTAGACTTACATATGTGCGCACACCAGTTTGTTTATGATTTATGTACAATGCATGTATAAGTGTTTGATATGGAATGGATGCGCCAGTGTGGCACTGTAGGATCATTAATAGGTCTTCCGTCTCCTTATATGATTGCTTTAAGAGCCATTCTGAGATGATGGCTTTACATTGGTACGTGTTAAGACTATATAGGGACAAAAGTTTGTACAACTTTTTATACAAGTAGGGCCCTAGAAAAATAAAGAACCTACGACTAAATGAAGTTTTAACATGCAATGATACGACCTCCAAACGATTACGGCGAGTATTTTCAGAGGTGTAGTAAGTTTAATAGTGCTGTCTGAGAATGATTGGTTTCACAAACCTTTGGTTGCCTTACTGTGAGAACTTGGCAAATTTCATAAAGCGTTTTAGTAGGGTACAACCGAGGCTTGAAACAGCAAACCTTTAGCACAGCTCTCTGGGCACGCTCAATCTGCAAGGTGTGAGATTTAGCTGCACCACCCCATGTGGTAATGCAATAATTTAAGATGGATTGACATAGACCTGTATAGACCATTTTCAATACATGAGCAACAGCAGAGTGTCGAAGTTCTTTAAACATATAGATAAGTTTGCGTACTCTACTTGAGATATAATTAATATGATTTTTGAAAGTTAGGTTATTATCAATATAGATACCTAGATATTTAATAAAAGTTTCTTTTTCTATGAAATATGACTCACTACAAGGAGCATTATCAGGTAGGTTAAAGGTTATTTGTAGGGAAGTTCTAACAGATTAGGGGAGCGGATAGAGAAATCAACTACTTTGGTGTTGGTATTGTTTAGCGTGAGTAGATTATTTCTTAGCCAATTATTAAACACATCAAAACCCTTTTGAGCGAAACGGTATGCATCCCTCCAATCATCTGATGAGCAAACCAGTGCAGTATCATCAGCATACGCGAAAATTGCTCCATGGTTAAGTCCAATGTTGCACAAATCATTTATATAAACCAGAAATAAACTTGGGCCTAGAATGCTCCCTTGGGGCACGCCGTGAGTTATGGGCATTTCAGTACTAGTACAAGAACCGATTTTCACTAACTGTGATCTGCCCGTCAAATAACTACTAAACAGAGACAGTTGGGTCCCTCTAATACCTAAAGATTAAGACTTCAATTGAATTCTAATGAAACATCGCATATTTTGTTAATCGAAAAAGAGCAACCAGACCGATGACTTACGCAAACTTATCAACTAGGTACTTAGTAATGCATTCAAAATAATAATATCATTTGAGATGTGCCTAAGTCGGCTCGTTGGCTCGTTTAGCATGTTTTGCGCAGTCGCGCCGGCACCTAGCCTATCGAGTACCTATTTGGCTTGGCACCGACTTCAAACAGACAAGAAGGTGTCTATTGCTATTATAATGTTACCTGCTATATCGAGGGTCGCACTTATTTTGTTTTTTTTCAATTAGATTGGCAATAATTTTTTTAATTTTTAGTGCTTAAAAAAAAAATATTTTTTTACTTGTTTGGCCCATGAATTTATGACATTTGTTATGATGTGTGACGGTCAATGTAAAGATTTTTTAATTTGAAACATTCTGGTTAAGAAAACTAGATAAGATTCATTCGTGATCAACATAATAACAACCTTAACAGTTCCGCTAATTTTCTATCTACTCTCACTATTGCTGTTTAACAGTAGACTCTCGCCCGTATGTGTATAGTATTATGTATTTCATAATTATATTCGGACTAGGTGGTTTAGAGTTTAGAAATAATGCAATATATAGCAATATATAAGTTAAGAAACAATGGTAAGAATTAAGAGTTCAAGTTATTGGTGAGAACTATAGATGTTTAGTGTGCAAAAAAAATTAGTTTCTCTATTGTATCCAGGTCCACGAGTGAAGGCTGCACAGAACAACCTCAAATGGTGCTGCTGTACTTCATGGCACAGCTTCTGCTACGAGAGCTTGCCAAGTGTCACCGACTCGTTCAACTCGTGCCAATGGACATGACGTCTTATTACGGTGAGAATAGCAATCATATTTAAATATCCGATCTATGTTAAAGAATTATTCACCGTACCTTTTTGCTGTATTAGTGATAATTTGCTACCATCTTATCATTTTAACGGTGGGTACTTGAAACATTAAAATTATTTTTCGACAAAGTTTACTTTTCGCTGAAGATTAACTTTTCTGAAAACTCAAGTAATTTTAATTTTGTTCGTACAAAAAATAAATTAGCATATTAAAAGGGAGCAAAGTTGAAAACATTGCTGAGTTTAGATTTTTTTAATTCAAAAGTTTAATAAAACTTTTTTTTTACATTGTGAGTATGAATTGAACTAATAGGTTATGCACAAAACTGGGCTAAGACATATAAATCACCTGTTTAGTAGCTTAGTACGTAAAGATAATGAGGCGGAAAGCGACAAGCGTTTTGCACATTTCAAGTATGTATATTTTCACACGTATGTGTCAAGTAAGCTCACATTATGTTCTCATATAAGTATAACGCTTAGTTCATTAATTCATAAAATCCTTTTGTGGAGTGTGTCATGCGGGTTATGTGAATATTAAAACATAATTCGTAGTACTCATTCCCTCCAACATTTTTATAAAAAAGACCATACTAACTTTTCTCAAGTATAATCGTCCAACGAAAAAAAATAAACAAGTTCATTATTGTAGTAATCACATCACACTCGGATTAAAGCAACTTTACAGAACGACTGAAAAACTTATTTAATTTAAACAAAGACAAACCTTGAATTTGAAAACGAACACATTTTCTCGCCCACTTTTAACCAATCTACGCTTTTTATTCTCAAATGGAAAACCATTAATCCCAAAAGTCATACCCTACCCAAAACTTTCACTTTTAAACTCAACACGGTATGTACATCTAGTCTTAGGTGCCTTCGATGAACTAGCGTAGATAAGAAAACGAGACTAGTGAAAAACTAATATCCCATTAGCTACTTGAACAAAGTCGTTTGTGCAAACAGTCTGTCTTTACTTACCACATTATAAGATAACCAATGCGCCAATGTTATCAAATAAATCATATGTTGTTTTATAAAATAATTGTTAATGTATTGGTTTTTTAGAGATACTGAAACTCGTAAATTACTACATGTATTCTAGTCGTTACGTATAGATGTATGTGTATTATATTATATTAGTTACAAAGACCTCCTTTAACTCCTTACTCCTTTTAAAAAGAGTTACTAAAGATAGTGGTTCAATACATAATTATGCACAATTATACATCTTTGTCCTGGGAGGGGTAGACAGAGCCAAATTGACCGCCCACCTACTTAATAGGGAGCAAGACGGTTACCGTCAACCAAGCAAATTTATTGATAAAAAACATACTTCTATATTTCAATATCGATTGCCAGGATCGCGTAGTGATTTAAGCGGTCGCCGCGCCGCTTGCTACTACGCCGAGTATTGTGGGTTCAATCCCCAGATGAGACGACACTTGTGTGATCCACAAATTGTCGTTCTCAGTCTGGGTGTTTCTTGTGTTCGTTTAATGTATTTTTGTAAAAGTCCCCCGTGGCCAGGATATATTACTAATGCGGAAGTTGTCTTTCTATATTTAAAGAAAAAATATATTAATCAATTATCGTCGATTTTGATGTAAAAAAAATAATAAGAAGAAAAAAACAAGAAAATAGATTCATATTATAGATAAATTACACACAGTATTTGTCCTGGGTGAGAATCCTACTCACGACTTCTGGCTTAGCAGTCAGAATCGCTAACCACCAGACCAACAGACCCGACCTCTTTGGTCAGTTTTAGAAGCGTATATACTCAGCAATAAAATCGCGTTTTACTGATAGCCCTGATATTGATTGAAACCACTATTGTTGTAAAAAAGAAAGAAAGAAAATACGTTTATTATACACACAACAAAATAAAAATAGAGATGTAACATAAAAGAGAAAAAAAAAAGAAACACTTTGCTAAACTAAAGAATAACACAAACAAAAACAATTACGAAAGAATAAAATTATCACTGTGTATCATCACTTGTACTGGTTTGTACCTACGTACACTATATCCTGTTATTGGAAATAATTAAAAATGCATGGATCTGGTTGCCATTTTTACAGTGGCGGGTGATTAGTCACAATATACGAAGTTATATTTAGATAGAAAAAAATATAGTACTAATATTACAATTTGGGTACAATTAAAAATTGGTTTTCTATTAAGTTAAAAAAAAATGTTGTTTACGGTCACTTTTTATATAGGTAAAGTTAACTAGTAGTTAATCTTTATGAGGGCAAATAAATCACTTGCGTTAAGGACACACCAAGACTTTACAAACTTAAGTCTCGAATTGCCTTTAATACCTCTGGGAAAACATTCCTGTCGCACGTAAAGTGTTTAATAGTGACAGGATCTAAAATACGGACGTAAATAGCATGTGAGAGGCTATGAACAATGAGTCATATGAACATTGAGTCTTGACAAAGACCATACGTGAAGTTATTATCTCGATTCAAACGGTGACAGCACATGCACTTGCATTGAAAACTGAGACCGGCTTAGAGACGTCTTGAATCGTGGTATAGGCCGTAATTTCATCTCGTCTTTAGAAACCTATTTAATAAGTATTTGAAAATAATGTGAATTTAGCGGATTTCATTTCTATTTTCATTATTCACATAAAATTAAGAGGATAATACACGAAACTACTAAACATATAGGTACGTTTCTTAAGATATACGAATAGAAGAGTAGGTCATATTTCACTGGTTATACGCCTGAATTGTTGTCCTGTTGTTGAATATGTGTTAAAAAGACAATAAACATATGTCTTGTCTTTACTATTGGTTACTTAGATTTGCTAATTCAGAGTACAGCTAACCTTTTTTGAGCAAGACAAAAAGCTACTACCATAGCATACTCGTAATGACTTAATATTAACTATATTTTATAGTGTTATTTGCATTGTACTAGTGACTTGTCTCCGACCCATTTTTTTCTTCGTTTATATGAATGTATGACTATTAATTAATTTGTACAGAAAACCGGGCCGGTCCGTCCAACTTCGGCAACGTGATCAGCCAAATTTTGCTCTGCAAACAGATTACGCCAGACTTCAATCAAGAAGAGTTATGCAGTATCATCAAGGATACGCAAGAAATCACAAAAATAGTCAACGATATACAAGAATATTTACCACAACACGAGAATTTGAACCACTTAGGTAAATATACGTAAATATTTCTAATATATATAGGTAAATATTTCTTATGTTTGCCTTTATAGAATAATAATCTCTTGAAGCATAGATCAAAGTCTGGTGTCTTAGTATTTTACACCAACTAATATGTATTTATTTATTTAAAATTTGAAGGACTGACAGCTTTGACTTTGCTTAACGTAGAGGATTGTATCAGTAAGCCAATTATATTTTAGATCCCCACGTTTAGTCAGTACATAGTTATTAATTTAAAATTACATCGTTCTAATAAATTTATCGAAGCCGCAGCAATAACGTGACTCTTATTTACGAGTAATATCGTTTTGCCATTGCTGATTCTTAACACAGCTGGATTAGTGGTAGGAATCAAGTTGACAGTGGTCCTGTCATATCAATGCACTGGGCAGGCAGTTTTAATAGGTACTGATGAGGAAGACCATGTGCTTGTTTGTAATATTAGTACTACAGGACAACGAAATTATTTATCACGACATTATTAAAGGCTTTCATTCAGATGACCCGGCTCATAAGACGTTGTATTAATGGTGCGTGTTCAATTGTCATGTTCAGAGTTCAGGAGAACACATTAACAAGGCGACCTTAAGTTCAGACACTTATTTGTTACGAGTTAAAGTTGTTACATCGCCGTAGAGGCGTTATAATATCGCTTGAATACGTTAATACTCGTAGTGTAATGTCCAATGTATTTCCAGCAGCAGTGTACACCAAAATGTAGACACTATACCGAAAAGGAATGAAGGGAGAATTATTCTGATTCAACACTCAACTAAAACTCACACTCAAAATATCTTTATTTCATTTTTTTTTTAATTATTTGAAATCGTCTTTTGTGTAGACTCTTAAGTCATATGTCAACACACACAATAGCAACAATCTATATTTTGTTTAAAAATTGTTGTGGTTGAGCCTTATGAGAAGAAAGGGCAAACAAACTCAGTACCACTCTTTTTAATTAACAGATACAAACAATGACATCATTAAATATACACAACATTGTTTTGATGTGTGCCTGTATTAAGGACTAAAAGTTAAAAGGGCAATGAAGAGAAAACAAGATATAGAAAAAGATCGATTAAAAAAGAAAGTGAAGTAAAACCTAAAAAAAAAGAAATTTAAATATAAGACACACTAGCCCACATCACATTTCCACTACGAAATAGCCTGTGCGTAATAAATAAATTAATCCCAGGCTTCTTGTCTTCTATGTAATCCACAATTGAGTAATAGACTTTCTAACATAGTTTACGTTTTATTGTAGATTTTAATTTGTTTTTACTAAAAACTTATTTACTATTTGGAATTTTAGTATAGAATTGAACACAGACCTCTAAATGACTTGTTTATCTTTTGAAGCCTAGAGGCAGGTACAACAAGTTTATTTCTATTTATGGTATTGTAAGCATGTACATCACTTCTTTTCAAGAAGCTATCTTTGTTTTTATGAATATACATTACATTTTCATATTTATATTGACTTGCCACTGACATCATGTTTATTTCTTTAAATTTTTGCCTTAATTACCAACGATTGCCTAAATTATAAATTGCTCGAATCGCTCTTTTTTGCAGCACAAAATTAATTTTAATGCCGGCAGCATTCTCCACCGTAAAATAATGTTATGAAAATAACTGAAATGAATAAGTCGTGCTGTATCAATATCAGTCAATTCTCGAATTTTTCTAACTGCGTACGCTGCTGAGCTGAGTCTACTCGATAATTTATCTATATGTGGTCCCACTGTAGCTTAGAATCTAATATCATTCCTAAAAATGTCGTTATATCCACAAGGTTTAACTTGACAGCCTTAATCATCTCAATGATTTTCACTGGCACGACGTTTGGCGTGGTGAACCGTACAAGTACAATAACACTAAAAGCTAATGCTCCTAAGAACAAGCAACTTCTTTTTAATTCCCCGAAATCCAAGACACCTCAATTCCACCCGCCTTTAGTTTCTGGACAAAGAAAACATCATTTAAAAAGTGCATAGTTCAAAGCATACCTTGTAACCCTCGATCTATGAGTTCCAGTTCAATGTTCTTGAAGTATTAAAATGTTTATAGGAAAACATGAATACAGTGTTTATGTGTATATTTACAGTTTTATAAGATTTTAAGTTGCTATGTTTTAGTTATCATGATTTTCTCCGCAATGAGTGTCCAGTTACGTTGTTACAAGGACACGCGTTTCCAAGAATGATAACTTCTTATACGAACCTATAAACAAACTATGAGTGAAACAGGACTTTCCATTTTGTATTACATAGAACAAAAGATTAGTGACAGAAATAAAACATATAAGTAACGTATTTTGGCCTTACTGCAAATATCAGTTGGAACTTGTCAGTATAACGTACATGTCCCTAAAGTCATTAACGAATTGTCAATTTCAATCGTGCTTTAACCAATACACAATGAAGCTCATTATTATGCAATATGGCCCTTCTGTGTTTAATAATTCATTTATATAATGCAGCATTTGAATACAGTCCTAGACATCAATAATTCATCTTTGGCATATTACATAATTAAAAACTTTTAGCTTTAGTACCGCGATGCGGAAATTCTGTTCTTTGCCACTTTCTGCTATGAATTGATGCATGAAAATTCTTTAATAATGCGCAAAAAGAGTGCTAAAGCTGTTTCCAAAATGACCTGTGCACCTAAGAAGTTGCCTAAAAATACAACGGTAACTTCTAGTTCTTGGAAAAAATCTAGATCTAAAACCCTTATTTATAATTGTATAATATGCGTATAATATAAATACAGATTGGTTAATGGAGTTATTTTCTACATGCGCTCATAATATCGTTGTGTGTAGTTAAGGTTTTATAAAGCTATCACACATTGGAGTTAACTTGATAATAAACTAGAAACCTTCTTTCTAAGGAGAGGCCTATGTCCAGTAGTGGACTATTAAAGGCTGTTGATGTGATGTGATGTGATGTGAAACAATAACACTTTATAAAAAGCTAAAAGTTTCAATTTCTTTATAACGCTGCACTATTACCTTCAAAAATCCCGGCAGATGGTCATGGAGAAAATGCATCAAAAAATAAAACATTAAAAATCACGGCAGATGACAATAGAGAAAATAGTGGAAAACGTGAACGGATTGTCTTACATGAAATGAGAATACCTCACCGTACCTTTCTTTTAAACCTTCTTTCTAAGGAGAGGCCTATGTCCAGCAATGGACTATTAAAGGCTGTTGATGTGACCTCTTATTTACCTACATTCTCGAGTGCTACCATAACGTTGTACTCCACTACAATATAAAATTATGAGCTTCAAGACAAAGCCTCAGCTGCCTATACGTTAGGTCTTAGCTACATTTACATATAAAAGTCATCATCATCATCTTACCCTTTTCCAAATTTTATTGGCAGACGGCGCAATGAGTATTCTTTTTCAGTCAGCCAGTAAATAGTAATATTTTTATTTATCTTTTAGTTCACTGCAGGACATAGGTCTCTCCCTAGGACAGACGAGTAGATATATGGTTTATTTCAAGTTTTTCTTCTTTGTAGTGCTGTTGTTGTGCGCAGTTTGCTCCCTTTTCGGCTCTTACGGCACCCACGGGATAAATAGCGGTGTTACGGGCTTAATGCTTCTTTATTATTGTTTAGTCATTCTCTGTTTTTTGTATCCGTAAACTTCCATACATACAACTTTCTTCACTACACTTTGCTCCTCTCTCCGCATTACATGTCCATACGAGGATAACATGTTGCATCTCAACTTTTCATCCACTGGTGCTAATATTGTATCATCCAAATTCAGGCAGCATATACATACCGACTTATAATGTAACATACTATAGACAAGTACTGGCAATATTTAGTAGATAACATTTACGTGACCAAACTAACTCACAAATAGCAAATTAGTTGTACTTCAACATATACAAAATACATGCATAATAAAGCTTACTGACGTGAAAGGGTATGATTATAAGTAATAAATAATATGAAACCTTTTAAAACTTCTAAACGTACCTATTGTTCCCCTTCATTTCCTAACAATATCGTACTTAAATACGTTAGCAGGTAAACGCATTATACCTCTAACAAAACGAAGAAGACAATGCTCTGTTTAGGTAAAAGGATTATTAGTCTTGTAATTGCTTTGTTTCTTGAAGGTAAGCACAGACTTTCACTTGAATACCTTAAATAACAACGTGCCACTATTCTGTAACTCAGTTGACGTACCTAATAAGATGCATGAACTACTTTTTTTTTTAAATTTAATTCACTTTAATTTAATTTTAGCAGTTTATTGTTATCTTGTTTGAAGTTACTATATTGTTAAACACAAAAGTGAAACATTATAATTATCTGGACCTGACTGACGAAGGCGTAATATATAAATTGGCTTAAAAGTTACAAGTTAAATGTTTATTTTGAAACACTTGATTATTTACTTTATACAAAAAGTCCAATCAAACGTGTTTTTACTACTCAATCTTCACAACCTAAGCAAATATTCTTACTAGAATTATGATTATAATACCAGGATACCGGTAGTTCGAACTTCAGAGACAGAAACCTCCTCACAATACGTGACGTATCGTGAAGAACTGCTTTCTTCATCAGGCCTTTAATCCAGATGCCTAACACGAGCCTCTGAAGATGTTGGTCGAGGTTCTTAGCAGTTAATCCATGGGCCGATATGACTATCGGTACAAGGGTTGCCAAATCCACATCCTAAATATCGACAATCTCGTGAGCAAAATTCAAATACTTTACTTGTTTATCTTTTTCAGCTTTCAAGAGATTGTCGTCATGTGGAATAGTAATGTCAACAATCATTGCTCGGCGCTCTAATCGTATCTAACCATTATTATTAAATCTAAATATTTTCAAAAACGTGGTCTGGCACATATTTTTCTTTTTTATTATTATAACATAAGAAAAAAAAATAGTTGTAAACCATCCATCCTTGCATCTTCTATCTAACGATATTAATTATATCTCATTTATACAAATATTTTTTTATGGTGTAGTGATCAAAAGAGCAGACGGGTCACCTGATGGTAAGTGCCTACCCCGTGCCCTGCCCGTGGAAACCTGCAACTCAAGAGTCACAAGTGCGTTCCTGCCCTTTACGTCTCCCCCTCTGAATCAGAAAAAGGGAAGGTTTGGGCTCCAGTAACATCATTAAATCTGTGAAAAGCAACGCAATAATAGCTTAACTGGGGTTCTCTGTAAGGTGGTATCACTCCGGTCGAGCCTGCCCATTTGTGACGAAGCTTGGCTCAGCCACGGTGAAATATATCACGTCAAGAATCTTATATATTTAAAGTTATAACAAGCAGTTCTTTTTCTATACTGGAATACACTTTTCTATTTTATTAACCTTGTAGCTGAAGCTACACCCGACTTTAAGTGATGAGTTACCCCTTTTACGTCTCAGTAAACTTTGAAAACACCCTTGCAAATCTGCTATCTATACCAAAGGAACTTCTACGTCCTATTGGCTTTTAGCTGTGACATACCTGCAGTATCATGAAAAATGGGCAGGATCGCCTCTATACTGAGAGAATTAACGTTTGGTTTCTTGCCTTTATTTCCAATGTGCACAGCCCATGACAAGAGCGGTTTGAATTAATTGTTCGGTCTTGCATTGGTAGAAGAGAAACATCCATCGAAAGCCGAAATACGAACAGAATGAGATAAGATCCTAGGCGGAGGATCTTCTAAGGTGCTAAGATCTCCAGTACTTCACAGAGAGACTACCTGCCCTTCAATTGGCAAACAAAATCTACTACTGTCTCATATGATTTCTTTTCTAAGTTATACTAACTCATAAGGGTTGCGTGGTTAATGTTAATCACCCAAAATCTAGGTTTACTAGCCTGAACGTTCATTCCAGTACGCCAAAATAGAGTAAATTCAATAATTTTAAGTATTCCGCTTATGGAAAGTCAATAAGTACAATAAGGCTAGATTAAACTGGAGTTGAAGCCTATATTTATTTTATAGATAATAATTATTGATGTTCACTATTGAAAGCAAACAAGCAACAAAAAAAAACAGACCACTACTATGGGTGTGGTCTGTTTTTTTGCAGTGAACTTAACCACCAATGGAATAAAAATACTCCAAGAATTATACCTAAATATTTTATACGATTGTATGTATCCATAAAACGTGTTTACACTGTCCATTTTTTGCAGAGAGCAACATCGCACTAAAAGGGGACGACGTTAACGGTCTATGGAGGGATAAGCGAAGAGGATCTCTATACAAAGGCATGGGAGTACTCTGTTGTGTGTCCCGACCTAACTACCTCTGAGGGTGACAGGTATCGCCTACGCGGCGGCCCAGCTTCGAACAGATGACCATCGCCTCGACGGTATGTCCAAAACGAATGCGTGAATTAAACTAAAAGTGATCAGTGAATGACAAAGACAATTGGTATAGTGCGCAGAAAATGAATGGGTCCATTACATTATTAAATGAATTAATTAGAGATTATATGTTCAGTGTGAATTAACAATATTATTATTATTATAATTGAAATCGTACCATCAAGTAACAGTAGTTCAATTATATAGTAATAAGTAGGTACTTATGAATAAGAAGTGCATACATTCATGCATAGATTCAATTATTATGAATTGCCTGGAATGGGATCAATTGCATTTAAGTAGTATGTAATACAAATAATTAGTGTTTTTTTGCACCCTAGGTCATGTTATTAATGGCGGTGCCCATTTGATATTTTTCTTGAGATATTTATAAGTTAAACTTAGTTTTTCACTTGTCTTCATTTTGTTCATGTATAGTCTGATCTAAGCTGAAATTATGTCCATAATGTTATTATACATATATTAATAATTAATTAATATATAGAGATATTTACCCATGCTTAAATGTAGAAAAAAGATTGCTTTTAAAATAACCATGAAGACAGTAGATCATTATTATTTTTTATTGCTATTTTTGCTAATTTTTTAGTCAAATGTTCTTACTAACTTCGTTGTCGACGCTCACATCATTATTGTATAATTTAGGAAAATATTTAAATAATGATATGTCCCTTATTAAAATATTCTTACATGCCAAAAAATAACTTAGCTTTCGCCTATGGAGTATCCACCTTAAATACTACTAAGGCTATGCTATCGAAACTATATAACTAACTCTATTTAAGTAATCCAGAAGATCGATTACCCAGACAATAAGTGTAGGAAATGGGTGTTTTTTCTTAAATTCAAATCAATGAAAGAATAAACATCAACTACTCTGTCTGGCAACTTAAAAGAGATACGACACTGTCTTGGGATGCTGAAGTATCAGTGATTTACTTAACATACTTATGTGATGCCCCTAAATCTATCTAAGTTCATTATATGTACAGGTAGATATTTTTACTCGACTGCCCAAAAAAGGAGTGTAAACTGAAATACATCATTTTTAGATGTAACTATTTATGATTGTTTAAATTTGCCACTTTTACAATAAATGCAATCTATTCTAGTCAATTGAACGTTATAAATTTTAAATTAAAATATTTTTCCTTTTTAAAGTGTTACAATTTACTAATGCACAAACATAAACCGCTTCATTATTTTATTCTTATATTTTATTGATAATATCTCAGATTTTAAGCTATTGCATAGTTTCTATCGAGGGCCTTGAGCGCGGGGACCGAATCCAGAAATTCCGTAACGAAAAAAAACCTCACGCTAAAAATAAAATCAAATGCTGAACGTCAAAGGAAATTTCGTCAACATAATGCAGAAAAATCTTACATGGATATGTAATTTGATTTAATAATAATATTTTTTATTTATTTATTTAAAAACAAATTGTAATATTGAAATAAAAATATTGAAGCATTCAATATTTTTATTTAATAAAAGAAAAAAAAATTGTTTTCTTATCGGCCACCACGCTCAAAAAGTGTAACTTGAATTAATATCAAAGAAAAATAAATACTGCATAAATAAAATAAATAAATAATTATAATTGCATAAGTTGATACAAAATGCTATGCAATAGCTTTACCGCGGCAGTCCCCGAGTGCCACAAGTCTTTTCATATTGTCATATAGGTCTGTAATTTTATGTCTACAGTTACAACTGCAAGTTCCATCTGAATAGTTTGTTTTTCAGTTTCCTAACAAATATTACCTTCAGAATCGTATACTTCTTAGGAAATTCCGACCTAAAAATTATACGATTCTGAAGAAAATATGTGTTGCACTGTACTCTTGTACAAATATTTGTTTATATTTAAAAAAAAATCCATTAATTAAATTAAATTATAAAAGATTATTTAATATGTAATACACACACATATTTCTATACACAGTATTGTTGATTATCCTTTACTTTGGTGATGATTGGCATATCTGATTAATTAAAAATGATCTCAAAGAGAACTTAATACTAACTTATAAGTTATTAAATTTAAATTAAACTAGTAAGTATAAGTTGGAGTGCGATGAACTATTTATTTTGTTTATATACTCGTAGTTAATATTCATATTTAAATAAATTGATGAGCTGATTCCAAAACAACACCAAATCTTTTAAGATGTAGGTATTAGATATTATTTATATATGGCCTAGTCATTATTATATAAATAAACATGAATATCCTAGTCAATTATCGTAATGCACTATATTATTCATAATTGTATTGGAGAAGGTAAATTAATTAGTAGATTAACTGTGGCTATAAGAATCAAAGCGTTCCAAGGAACAAGAGCAACAAGGTGATCTTGTGGAACTTATGTCACACCAGATGTCAAACTAGATGAATTAATATATTAACATTTGTATGTCTTTTGATTAATTTCATTATTCAAGATCATTTAAAACATTTAGTTCAGACTTTTTATCCTCAATCCTGAATGCAAATGAACTAACGTATTTATTTTTATTTGTGTAAATGATAATGGTAATTTTATTTGAAAGACAGTTGCGACATATTTACTGTGATATCGAATGTTACTATTGACGTTAATGAATTGAATTTTTTGTTACGATTACTATAGAATTACAATTTCCTTAGGATACGGTAACTACAAATTCTCTCAGTGATTGTTTTTTTAATACCAATCGAACTAACAATTAACAATATAATCAAAGAATAAGCGTGTTGTATCGCGAATTTATGATTCTCAGGTAAATTAAATAAATTATTTTGAATGCAATATTTATTGAAAGCTAAATTCATATATACCTAGATGTACCTCGTAACTCGCATATCTATATTTTTGGTGTATAAATGTTTCCTGCCAAATGAAATCAAAATGTATGTGTGTAGACGATTTGTTATAAGTAGACAATTGTAACATATATTATATAGCCGAATATTATGAAGATTGAATAAGGGCTGCACTAGAATTTAATCAGTAAATCATTACTGCGGTAATTTTGTGTTTTATGTAGATTTAATTACAAGCATATTGTTGTTGTGTTTCTTAATTTATTCATCACAAGTATATCTTAGGTATTGCAAAAAATGATAGTCCCTAAAGCAAGTTCAATTAAAACAAGTTCTCTTAAGGCGAATTCTTGACTGAACGACTGACAGCGGTCTATCTGCTTAAGTTAAAAAAAATACTAGTAGAATTGGTCACACACTACTAATATTCTTCTTAGTTGATCCAAATAAGCTGTGTTAGGTGTGACTTGACGTCGGAGATGTACTGTATATTAAATATTTCTTCTTTCGAAACTCGTTTCAATTAAAGACTAATGTTTCTTTTTTTTATTTAGAATTTATTTACGAATTTCGAAAGAAGAAACATTATGCTTTTAACGAAACGAGTTTCGAAAGAAGAATAATCATTCTTATTCCGAAACTGGTTTAGAAACTTGATTTCGTGGACGGCCGTAGGGGGGAGAGGACGGTCAGTGAACCACGCGCTTTACTTTTGAGTTACAAGATTAAGAAGCCGAGGTACCGTCAGATTAAAAACAGCAAAGAAGATAAATACGAAGATAAGTACGTACTTAATAGAGTCATAATTTCTCAAAAAGTTTACATATTAACAGACTGTAATAGCCACTTCATTCTTGCCAAAACAATAGTGAATTATGAAACGTGTTTCAAGTTTATAATTTGTCATAACAAATTATAGTTAAAAGAAATATTACACTACACATAACGATGTTTAAGATCAGCTCAGCAATTGTAATTTAAAATTTTAAAGTAATTCAGAAAGTTTAGTAAATTGAGTTTACTTAGAATTAGGATTAATAAAAAGTAGTTCTATTTTACTTCCTTTTAATACATATATTATAAATTAAATGGCTGTGCTTCAATGAGTACAGTCTAAGAAACATGCTGATCATATACGCCTTTATTAAAAGCATTTTTTTTTTAGTCTTGGAACTTAGTTTCAATTATTCCGTCATTCCTAAAAAGTATTGAAATTTATAATAATTATTATTGTCGATTTTATACAGTGTGATACAGTAAGCGTGGTTAAGGGTCGTGTAGAAGACTCTGTAAATAACAGGAACTACTTATAATTGTAAGAGAGAGAGAATTTATTTAAAAAATAACAAATTGAACTTGAAAACTGATTGAATTGATAAAATAAATATTGCATTTGCGAGAACGCTGACATAAATGAAAGTAGCTACGCGTATTTTCTAGCATGTTGATGAAATGTTCAAATTTTTATAAAAATGTACGCACAAGGAAAAACACACAATCGCTGCAATAGACATGAACATTCTATTTATGAAGGTGCCCTTACACTAGGAAAAAGACAAGAATCAAAAATATTACTCAAAAGAATGAAATTCTCATGCTAAACAAACTACTCATTGCTATAGCGAACGCTGCTGAAATTTTAACAATATAACTTTCTGTAACATTCTGTATAAATTAGACATGATCATTCTAGTAAACTGTTGCCTAATATATATATATATAAATAATCTATACTTTAAATAATGGTTAATAAGTCAATAACAATAAATAAGTAACTATAATAAATATAACACTGTTACATTATCAATAGATGTAGAGATATTTTTTTATGTTTTCGTAGTGCACTTCAGACACAGGTACCTATAAAATGTATGTTTAACTAATAGTCACTAGAGTCACACAATGTATAGAAGTATTTCCCTTTGAGCAACAATTCAATGTCTATACCAGTATCAGTATTATGTGAAAATATCGGTGTATACCTAATACTACAATAACGTTATCGGATGCTCCACAAATAGAAGCTAAAGTGGAATACTCCAATACCATTTATCATATTATCATACGACACTAAATCAATTTCGTTTTGTATTATTTCCAAATGTTAATAATGTA